TCAAATATTTAACACCAGATCCACAGTCCGCCGATTGCAGTTACCGATGCCGATGCAAGTTAGCATTCGCCTGGGCAATGGGCCTTCGCAGCAAACGCACCAAATGCATGCGAAATTGAAACCGATGCCAAAACGAACAGTTTTCACACCCGAGTGTGGCCGGAGGGGTAGGAGCAGGAGCCGAGGGAGGCGAAAAACGGCAACTGGCCAACAGCATCCAACTTGGAGTCGGCTGAAGCTGGAGCTGGCGTTGGACATGCAAAGCGCCTGCCTTTGATTCGACTGCTCAGCTCTCTGGCATTTATTTATTAGACTGATCTGCGGCTGGGCTGCAGCTGGATACGCAGCGCCCATTTACAAAACTCAACTTGAGTTTTTTTTTGGCCCCATTTGCAAGGGGTATAACGGGTATACTGGTTTGGTACGAGCGTATGTAACAGGCCAGAGCATGTAGATACTTGGAGCACGTAAAGTATAAAGCCCGTCAATCTCGGATGATTATAATAGCACAGAATTGAATTTGGATATAATCGTTTCGTTTTTACACATCTCCTTCCATTTTCATTATATCGCCAATATCGATTATAGGCCTAACTCGTAAATTAAAATAGCTTAAGACACAAAATTTCCTTCGTATAATATACACAGGTCAACTCGGAATATATTTCACCTTTGGAACACTTCCACCGGTTCTTGCCCTAATTTCATTCGAGATATAGCCTTGGGCCTTGGTATGCACACACATTAGTATGTTACTTTTATGCCCTGAAAATTTCACAAGGATCCCATAATAAACACACCAGTTACTTCAGGTAGTCTTTCCCATAGTGAATGAGGGTTCTTCCCTTAGCAGAGAGCAACTCAAGTTTATCTCTTGGACGGAAGTTCGAATATGATGGTATGATGGGTATCTTCTGGTCGTGTTTAATTTTTGAAACAAGTCGCTGCCTTTATTGATTTTAACGAGGCGCAAAGTAAACAAACAGGTTGGCAGCTCCGGCACTTAGCCCGATTAATTGATCGCTGCTCAAGCGGCAAGTGGAAATTTTAATTTGAACGTGTTTTTTCTTTCAATCGCCGTTTTGGCCAGTTGACAGTTAGGCGCAGCATCTAATGCACTCAGCTCCAAACATTAACCAAATTGGCAAAAGCCACTTGCATTGCAGTCGACCCGTCCGATTAAAAGTGCGCCAAATAAACGCAAATCTATTACGCAAAATGTTTTCAAAATAGTCACATTACAATTGGGCTTTAGTCAAAGTCTTTTGTTAGGTTCAACATATTATTTCTCTAATCTAGAATTCATGTCGCTTGAAGGCTGGGAAGCCATATAAACAACAGAATTTGCAGATCTTGTGTATGTGTAGTATACTTTGCGGCATGAACATCCCGCCCCCTTGCTGAAGGTAGTCCTTGGCAAGGAGGGAGGTATGTGGTCGACGTCCTGACTGGGCATTAAACCCGGTCGGACTATTTGCGGATACAGATCTGCACCGAGCACCAATGAGACGGTGTCGAGCTGATGTAATCATGCATCCGCCAGGACAATTTCCTCCAGTATTTACAACACAATGCTCGAGCAAAGGCCAAAGCATGGATTATTTAAGAACATATCGAATTTCATAGTATTTCAAGTCAAATTTACTTTTCCCAGATGAATATTTCTCTATTTTTTGTGAGAGTGAACCCTTAGACATTTCACCAGAATCGTGCAAGTCGGTTTTATAGATTTATTTTGCTTTCAATTGGTTGTTCAGATAACTTTTTGAATCGGCGCTGTTAATTATATATATATATATATGTATATATACACCGCGGAGATTGGTTGCCCGATCGAATTGTGGAACCATAATATGTGTGTATATTTGTGGGCATATATTAAAATTGTATGTGTGTTATTCGTATTGAGAAGCTTATGCAAGAAACAGTTAAAATCGCTTATGCCATTTGTTATTGTTATAAACATTAATTTATTTTTATTTCACATACGATTTATATGTACTATGTATAATAATGTTGTGTGCTTTAGTTTGTTTTTTTTTTTTCTTTTTTTTTTTACAGTGTACCAAGTTTATGTATCTATTATGTAGATTATCATATGAGATATTTGTTGTAATTTATTTGTTTTCTTTTTTTTTTATTTATTTATTAAATATTATATTTGTAGTTTTCTTAATTACCACAACAAGCGTTTCCAGTTTTCTTATTTGATTTACTAACAATAACTATTTATATACCTGTGCCGTCGCCCCAGCCGAGTCCCGACCTGGACCCAATGTCTCAGCGCCCTTAATCGCGAGGAGCCCAATAGGTTCCATCTGGGCTGTGGGAAATTGAGTCCGATTCGAGGCTTGGATTGCGACTGCATATTTGAAATGGATTACCAATTTGTAAATAGTTGAAGATTTATACAGAGACTATATGCATATTTAAGCTATTAATACTCGTTTGGTAATTTTACATATCCGTTAATTAGAGAGCGTTATCAAGTAGCTTTATTGTTTGGGAGTAATCGGGAGTTCGAAAATTTTGATCTGGTATCTGGGGTGGCAGGCATTCAAATTGCAACTGTGCTTTTTGCATGTATGTCTGTGTGTGAGAGAGAGTGTATTTGTTATTCGCTGTAAATAATTGTTAAAATTACAATTCGATATTTCAGCCAGAATCGTTTCAGTTTGCGAATCTTTGGCTTATTGTGTAGAAAAGAAGTGTTTAAAAAAACGATTAAGTACATATAAAAAATAGTATACATATATATATTTTAAATACATATTTACAAATACGAGTATGTAAGCTACTAGACGAAATGGAAATGGAAAAAACAAAACGAAAAAAAAAAAGCAGACCCCGTACCAACAAACGAGCGCCTGATCAAAGCTATTTGCTTTTTGATCGATTTACATAACGATCGATAATACAATTTGTCGACTGTTGAAAATAATCGAAAAACAAACCATGCAACAACGAGAGTTCAAATCTAAATGTTTATATATATATATATGTATATATATATTTATTTTAAATCTTATTTTCTCATTTGATTCGTGTTCAATCAAAATTTAAACAGTCTGTGTGTATGTGTCTGTATGTGAGTATATATAAGTATATTCAAATACAATTTTCTTCCCTATATTTGTTTGTTCAATAGACAATGTTTTTTTTTTTTTTTGTTTTTTTTTTTTCCCTTTTTTTGCATTTTACCCGTAATTGTAGTTGCAAATTTGAAATCATAAAATACACATCACATTTGATTTATGGAGTAGAAACAAATCGAACCCACAAAATAATCCAAATAGAACCAAATATCCAAAAGGAACCGCAACTGATTTGTGGATTTGTCTGAGTATTTATGTACGTGTATTGAGTATTATTAGTCTTAAAACGTTCGTCGATATATTTATGCATATTAAGTTCATAATTGTTTATGTTAAGCTATATTAGGTACAATATACAAACATGCATTGCCAGACACACCAACTACAGATGCCTATGTGTGCGTGCATGTATCTATGTGTCCATGCAAGTATCTAGACAAAGTTTTCTATAGCGGAAGTCGGGGTTGAGTTGAGTGTGTAAAGCTTTTTCACAAATCTCTTCATTCTTTTTTCTTTTCTTTTTCTGTTTATTCTTGTTTCAAGTTAAAAACTGAAAAAAAAAGAACAAACAAAACATTAAATGAATATCCAAATAATGCTAACAACAAAAATAAATAAATAAACATTTCAAAAGTGTTTCGGCCGTAATTATGTATTTTTGTTGTTGTTGTTGTTGTTGTTTTGCTTTGTTTATTAATTGTTTTTAAGTTTTGCATTTTGTTTCCATTTATTATCGCTTACACTTACAATGCTAAGTAGTTTACACACTAAAGAAAGTACAACTACATATATTAATTGTAATTTTATTTATATATTATATTATTATTATATTATATTATAATTTTTCGGATGTGGTTTTGGATTTAAAATATTTACTGATCGTTTCAGAATGCACAAGCATTGAATTCTGCTTCTGCGTTTTACAGTTACAATTACAGATACAATTAAAAGTATTACCTTGTATAAAAATAATAATAATAATATTAATTATAGCATACATTAATAGTGTTCTCTATGTGTGTGTGTGTGTGTGTGTGTGTAGGTGTGTGTGTTTACATTTTACTCTTGCCCAATCGATCTCTCAAATCTTTATCGAATTCGCAACTCCCCCTTCTCCTGTCTCTCTCACTCTCCATCGTTCCTTCTGTATTTCATAGTTAAAATAACTAAATGTAGTTTAATTCTTGTTACAGCATAAGTTAATTTAATTTACGTACATTGAAAAATGTTGCTCCTTCAACTACATCCTCAAATATATATATATATATATATATATATATTTGTATGTATATATCTATATATATATTTTAACTTCTTCTTTTATTTTGTTAACGCACGCTGCCAACGCCAATCGAGTGGGCGTGGCAGCATTGCTAAAGCGCGTGGTTCTGAAACGGCATGAGCTGAAAGCTAACATGCCAAATGTCCATGTGTGTGTGTGTTTGTTTGTGTTTATATATACATATATATATATATATATATAAACTAAATATATATATATATATACATGTGTGTATGTGTGTGTCTTTGTGTGTGTTGAGATGCCAACTAACATTATTTTGTATCACTTAAAATATATTTATTAGCATTATCATTCAAAATTATTATCAAATATGTACAGTTTGCTATTTAACAAATGAGTTGTTTATAGTTTCTTCTTTTTTTTTTTTATTATTATTAGTTTATAGTTTAGTTTAGTTTAGTTGGTTTGCTTGGCTGGCTGCTTGGTTGGTTTGCTTCGATTTGCCCAGTGCGGGGCTGAGCGCTACTATTTTAGATACATATATACATAGAGGTATATATATATATATATAGTTATATATAGGCTCTAGGGTTAGGCGATCTTGAAAATAAGACCTGAATCGTTACACACATATCTAAAATTAAGCGAACTTTTGTTTTTTGTTTTTCGTTATTGGTGGCTTCTCATTATAGATTTATACACAAGTGTTTCTTATTGCTGCTCTTCGTTTAGTTCTGTATGGATGCAAGTAAAGCAACTATAGCAAAACGAATTACAAATTACATAATAATCATAAGATTTACTAAATCATATCGCCCAGCCCGCCGCGGCTCCTCTCCACCAGCATTCCTTGCCATCCGATCCGCCGTATGTTACAATAATTTGGAAAACCTTTGGGGCGTATCTCGAGGAGTAGAAGGCGGATCTCACACGTTTATATTCACATCGAATATTTGTAGGTTTTTCATTTTGTATATATGCATATGAAATTCTATATATATATATAATCTATATATTTTATATAACTGCTGTAGCAATAGCAGTTGCCATCTAGGCAGACGTCTGTTTGCCCAGCTTGACCAGGCAGAGCGCACAGCAGCACTGGGGCGGCTGCAACAGCTGGCCCAGGGCCACCATCAGTGGACTCGAACGCGCAGCTCCCGCCGATGCCAGGCTGAGCGAGGTGCCACTGGGCAGATTCAGGGTGCAACAACCTCCACTTGCCATTGGATGTTAGCTGGTGTCCGCGTCTCATCTGTTGATTGTCGGCGTTGCGTTCACATTGCCCGTTGTTGCATTCACTCCGCTTCCTCCTGTTCCGCTGCCGTTGTTGTTGTTGTTGCTGCTATTCGCATTGTTGCTGCTGTTGTTGTTATTATTGTTGCTGTTGCTGTTATTATTATTATTGTTGTTGTTGTTGTTGTTGTTGTTGTTATTGGTGTTGGTGGGCAGCACAACGCCGCCATTGTTGGCATTGGCAATCACCTGCTCGACGGTCACGTGCACCTTGCCCACCTCCTTGGCAATACCGTCCGTATTGCCCACATTGTTGGCATTGCTGGTGACCAGCTGTCGAATTGTGGTCGGAGTGCCTACTCCGCCGCCGCCGCCAGTGCTGTTAACGGTGGTGCCCAGCGGCAGGGTTCGCGTCAGAATGGCCGAGTTGTTGAGACGGCCGCGCAGCACCTGCTGCAGTCCGGCGGGTCCGAGCTGCATCTGCATTTGGCCGCTGTTGTTCTTCTGCAAGGGTTTCACATTCAACAGGCTGGTGTAGAGCACGCGTTTGTCGCCCGTTGAGACCGGCACCTGCACCTGACCACCGCTCGTCTTGAGTTTCTGGTGCTGCTGCTGATGCTGTTGGATTCCGGCAGGCAGCGGTGCGCCCGTCTTGTTCAACACGACCGTGGTGGAGCCCAGCTGCTGCGATGTCTGGCTGACCAGCGTATCGGCGGCATTCGCTGTTGTGGCGCTGCTCACAAAGTTCAGCTTGACATTGGCATTGGGCAGCTCCTTGTAGTGTAGCTTCTGCTGGCCCGCGTTGCTGGCAGCCACCGCTGCCTGCAGCTCGCTGGCCGTGGCAATGGTGAAGTTGCCGCCGCTGCCGCCGCTGCTGTTGCTCGTCAGGAAGATCTTGTTGGCCTGCTGCGGCGCCGCCTGCGAGGTGATTATGGCCGTTGCCGGCTGCAGACTGTAGTTGTGATTGGCCGCAATGGCCGCTGCCGAATTGGGCTTCTGCTGCTGTTGCTGCTGACCCGTCTGCTGCTGCAAGTTGAGGTCCGACACTAGCAGCGGAAACTGAGCCATTTTGATCACCTTGCTGATCTTTTGCAGCTGCTGGTGTTGTTGCTGCTGCTGCTGCTGCTGCTGTTGTTGTTGTAGATGCTGTTGTTGTTGCAGTGCATCGCCGCCCTCCTGCAGGGTGAGCTGCTCGCCGGCTCCGCTAGCCACCAGCTCATCGTCCTGCTGCACCAACTGCTGCAGCTGCTGCTTCGTTAGCTGGATCTGCTGCTGAGCCACCTGCTGACCCACCTTGCGCTGCGAAAACTTACGATTCAACAACAGCTTGTTAATATCTGCAAAAGCGAAACAAACTATAGTTTTAGTAACAAGCCGATCAACAGTCGCAAACTGCACCAAAACAAACTTTGATAGCTCAACAAAAAGTCGATAAAAGCTATTAAAAATAATTTCTCTTAACACTCATAAATATTGCGCCAGAAATAAACAGCAGATGTAAATACATGTTTATGTCTTATGTTATTTAAAAGTAAATATGTAAATAAACTTAACACGGCAACAACGATACATTAAGGATGTCATTCATATGCCCGTATACACTTTTTTATACCACCAAACAGCCTTTTTCACACATTCACCGCACATTTCACCACCGTAAAGGGAATCACAAGATTCCCTTGATTATGTAGAGCTTTGATAAGAAGCATAAGGCTGAAAATATAACTTTCATTCATACAAACGTTGCTTCGCAAGAGTGAAGATATCTTAAAACAAGTTTGAGACCGAATGAACGGTATAAAACTACTAATTTTCCACGAATATTCCACACTTGCAGGTGGATATTTCAAAAAAACCTGTGGTAACTAATTAGCTCTTATAGCTATAATATAATAAAAAATAAAAAGACTCCCTTGTTGTCTAGCAAAACAATTATGTCACTCTGTAAAATCAGTACTGAACGATCAACGGAATTTATAATTTTGGTCAGCTTTGTAATATATGTCAAATATATTTGGAATAGACATAATGAAAAAAGTCGTTCCTTAAATAACATGTAATACAAATTATTCTAAAATTCATCTTATTTATACAGCGCATTTTTCGCTGTTGATATAACTGATTTTTGTCTTTGCTATTGATATTACGAGTCAAGTACAAATTCTATCCTTGAGTCGATTATATAGGACTTTCAGGCCAACGCAATCATGAAAGTCTACAAGGATATCTTTACCGGAGATGAGATGTTCACGGACACGTACAAAATGAACTTGGTCGACGATGTTATTTACGAAGTGTACGGAAAACTGGTCAGTCGTAATCAGGACAATATTGTGCTGGCTGGTGCCAATCCATCGGCCGAGGAGGCCGATGAGGGCACCGAATCAGCCGTAGAAAGTGGCGTTGATGTCATATTGAACCATCGTCTGCAGGAATCATTTGGTTTCGCAGACAAGAAGTCTTTCACTCTCTACCTTAAGGAATATATGAAGAAGGTGCTAGAGCATTTGCAGGAGAATGCACCCAACGAAGTGGACGTGCTCAAAACCAACATGAACAAGGCAATGAAGGATATTCTGGGCAGATTCAAGGAATTGCAATTCTTTACAGGCGAGTCAATGGACGTCGATGGCATGGTCGCCATGTGCGAGTATCGCGAACTAAATGGCGAGAGCGTTCCAGTTTTTATGTTCTTCAAACACGGTCTCCAAGAAGAGAAATTGTAGTCTACATTTGTGGCGATACTTCCCAAATGATAGTTTTCAAATTGTTTTCCGATGTAAGCAAAATTATAAATAATTCATAATTGATAAGCAAGCCATCAGGATATTTTGAGTTACAATAAATAAAAATCGTTCTGACGAAACGAACGATAAATGGATTATTGAAAATACATTAATTGCATTAATCAATTGTTTGGATATTCTTAAAGAAACACACACGAACACAAAGCACTAAAAGACTTTTTTTTTTTAATACCCCCGATAAGTATGCTATATGATTTATCGATTTCGTTTCATCATTATTCACAAAATAAGGCTTCCTTGTGCTTCTACCAAGCCCAGCTTGAATAAATCAAAAACTAGCCGCTGTTGATATCTACATTTTTGTAACTAGGAATTCCGCTCGGTTCAACTCTCTTTTCTGCACTTCTGCTCTACTCCTCTGCCCTTTGCCTTTGTTACTTTTCGTGTGCTATTTTCCACATAAATCTCAACACCCTCTCATCAACTTTCCACAATGCTGCTTCCGCACTCTCTAGCGTTTTTTTTTTTACGAAAAGGGTTTAAAATAATCGAACTGCGCTTTCAATTGAGAGCTGACGACTCACCTGTGTTTTCGGGTCCGTTTAGCTGCCGCTTTTGTGTGGTGCGGCTCGTCCACAGAATCTTGTTGCCCACGGCCGTTGGCGACTCCGATGTGGTGCTCGAGAGCACCGCCGTTGTGGCCACCGCTGTGTTGGTGCCACTCACCTGACGCCAAACAATTGGCTGTTGCTGCTGCTGTTGCGAGACGAGTTGCTGCTGCTGCTGCTGCTGTTGCTGGTGGGCGTTGTTGCGCGTGGGCGTGGCCACGATCAGAGGCGTACTTGTTGTTGTCTGCTGCTGCTGGAGCTGCTGCTGCTGCTGCTGAATGCCAGAAATGCTGTGCACAGCCAGCTGCTGTCCGCTGGCGGTGTTGATGATATTAACGCTCGAGTTGGCCGACGAGGACGAAGAGCTGTCATCGTTCTGCAGCTTGACGTTGGACAGCGTGATGACAGTGTTGGGTCCAATGGAGGCGCTGCTCCCACCGCTGCTCTTCTGTATGGCATATGTCACCTTCTGGGCACCCACCTGTGCCGCTGCAGTCATAATCTCGCCGCTGCTGGTCGTGTATATCATATGATTGCCGCTGCGCGAAGTCACAATGCTCTGCGAAGAGATTACGGCCGGCGAGCCGCCAATCTCTCGCTGCATTTGGAACAGCAGCTGTTGTTGTTGTTGTTGGGGCTGTTGCTGTTGCTGCACCACCTGCTGCTGCTGCTGCTGCTGCTGCTGCTGCTGGGGTGTCGCCTGTCTTTGCTGCACGGTCACATTGCGTAGCTGCGCCTGCGCCAGCTGATGCTGCAGCTGTTGCTGCTGCGGCGTCAAGGTAGGCAGTGTCGGCAACGGACTGCTGCCCGTATGTGGAGTTATGGTGACAATGTCACCCACCGCCGTGCCGCTGCTCACGAACTCTGTCCTTGCGATCAGCTGTGTGCCAGCTGGCGCTGCGCTGGCCGCAAACTGATTCAGCAGCTGCTGCGTCACAGCTACCTGTGTAGGCTTCGGCTGCTGAGGCAGTTGCTGCTGCTGCTGCTGTTGCTGTTGTTGTTGTTGATGCTGCGTTGTGATTTGGGCGGGTATGTTAAGCAGATGCGGCGCTGCAGTGCTGGCAGCTAATGGCGCTGGCGCTGGTGTGGGCGCTGGCGTCGTTGTTGGTGGTGGCACTGCAGGAGCTGGAGCAGAAGCTGGAACTGCTGGCGCTACATTGGCGGGAGTTGTAGGTGTCGTTAAGGTAATTGCCGATGCTTGTGCCAGCAGCGTCGGCGGTGTGGGCGTTGCTTCCGCTGGCTCCAGCTTAATGGGCAATGTGATCTCCGACGGCACGGTGTCTGGCAATGTTGGCGGCGGCTCTTGCTTGACGGGCGGTGCCTGGCAAAAGAAGGACGACTGGCGTTCGGCCGTTGTGAAACTGGAACTGCCCAGCGGCGCAGGTGGGCCTCGCTCGTGAGCACGACTGCGCGCAGTACGCTTCAAATCGGAGACGGGCGCCGTTTTGCAGTCGAGCAGATTGTCGGCGTTCTCGACCTCGTCGACAGCCGCTTCGCCGTCAAGAATGCCGTTCCAGAAGCTGGTAGCCTGATTGAGCGCCTTGGGGTCATCTGTGCTGCACTCCTGCAATATGTTGACCAGCATATGCTCATCGCCCAACAGATTGTTGATGTCGTTGAGTGAATCACCGCCGCTGAGATTGAATTCCAGCGCAGAACCGGAACACGAGCCTGAGCCAGAGTCAGAACAGTCGCCGTTAGTGTTGTCAGGACTTCTGTTGCTGCTGTCGCGCGCGTAGTCCAGCCCGTAAGCAGTCTGCAGCAGTTGCGCATCCGCATCGAGATCCGTGTACTTGAAGGCGCTGCTCATGAAGTGCGCGTCGGTTGCGGCATCGTCGTCGTTTTCGCTGCACTTGCCCAAAAGACCAAACTCGAGGCTAATGGGCGTATCCTGTGTCCAGTCCACGACTGCGCTGTCGCAAACTTTGCCGTTGCCGCTGCCCTCGTCCCCTGGGTTGCTGTCCGACAACTCGTCCGTGGGCGTCTTCGGCCGGAAGTGCAGCCAGTCGCGCCTGATCTCCGACAGCAGCTCATTGCAGATGTCTAGCCGCTGGCTAGACGTGGGCGACAAACCGCCCATATAGTCATACGACTCGTTGTCGTCCTCCGTGGGCGCCGCGGTCGCATCTCCCCCAGCATCAATGTACAGTTGCTTGTTGTGCAGGCGTATGACATCGGGCATCTGGTTGAAACAACGTGTCTGGCTCTCCTGCTGTTGTTTCTCCTCCTGCTTCTGCCTTTTCTGCTGTTGCTGCTGTTGGGCCTGCAGCTCCTTTTTGACCGCTGTGTGCCGTATTATGCTGCTAAGCTGTGCCAGATTTACATCATCTTCGGCCTCATCGTCGTCCATCAATTCCTGCTGCTGCTGCTGCTGCTGGTTTTGCATGGACGCCGCTGTGCGTATGCTGCTCAACGGCTCATTGGAGTCATCTGCATCGATCAGTTCGCGCTTTATCGTCCTTGCTACGTCCTCGACTGTTGCATTTGCAGAACCAATTGCAGTTGTTGTTGTTGTTGTTGTTGCTGCAGCTGCCGCTTCGGCTGCGCGTGCCGCAGCTGCCGCTGCCGAGGTAGAGGCCACCGGCTGCTCATTCAGAGTTGTCCCATCATCTCCGTCCGCATCCGCATCCGCTTCCTCCACTTTTATCACATTGAATTTTTCGCTAATGCTAACATTCTTATTCATATTACTACTACTACTACTACTATTGTTGTTGTTATTAAACACGGTGTTGTTGTTGTTGTTATTATTATTGGAACGGTGGTGCTGATGATTAGCGTGGCGTGACTGCTCTATTAGCTCATCGCAGTTCTCCTGCTTCAGCTCCAGCTCTTGCTGAGGCTGCTTCTCCAAACTCACAGCATGCGCATCCGTCGACGCTTCCGCCTGCATTTGAGACGAATGCAGCGCCTGCGCCAAGCGTTGCAAATACGCCCTGGGCAGTGGACGCAGCCGTGGCATGCCATCATCCATGCTCACGCCGTCTTCGCTTTCAATGGCTGCGCTCTTGAGACGCTTTGCGGCATTGAGTTCGCGCAGTTGCTGTTTCTTGCGATGCAACCGGCGACGCTTCATGCGCATCTCGTAGGGACTTTGCTCCAGCGTCACCGCTGAGCTGTAGACGCTTAGGCGTGAGACGTTCTCATCCTCGGTGCACAGCTCATCCTCTGCCTCGTCGTCTTCCTCCTCTTTGGGCAGCACCTGCTCACTGGCCGGCTCAACTTTCGGGAGCGACGCCTCGGGTGCCTCACTGGCGTCCGCGGTTGAGTCCTTGCAAGTAGGCAGATCAACTACGGTGGGCGGGGAGCTGGGCTTGGACAGTTGCTGTTTATGCTGGTGCTTCAGAGGCTTGTCGCTCTTCACCACGCTGTCCATCACCGTATAGTCGAACTGTGACCACAGGTCATCATAACGGCTACTGGCCCGGTCAAGCAGCACGCGTCCGCCGCGCCCCAGACGCCGGCGTGCAAAGCCTATACAGCGTGGCCTATAAAATTAGAAATATTAGCCATTTGTTAACTTAAATATAATAAAACATAATCACAAGCGTATTACGCACCTGAAATAGTTGATCGATGTTAGCGTATAGCGGTATTTAGCCTCAGCCCCAACGGCCGCACCTGGCGGCGCCTCCTCCTCAGCGTGCTCAGGGGGCGATTCCCAAGGCCAGCGGCCTTCGTCAGCTCCACGCGTCTGTAAAGTAGAAGGAACAGGAAATAAGTATTACGTATTTGCATAAGGTATCGTCATTTCGGCAGCAGGTATGAAGCAGCACAGTATATATAAAAAACTTGTGTTAGAATTTGCATATCCTTGGCTTAAGGTTTAAGAACCTTTATTTGTGTAACGATTAACTCAACTAGCCGCCTGTATTAGCGCCTATTCCTTACAGAGCGCGCTATGGGCTAAAAAGGTGAGCTACGAGATAATCGGCCGGGTGCGTAAGCTGTGATATTTGGACTTATCTATTAAGCCGCTTTAGATTTCAAGTACTTAAGTCGTTGTGCAAAAATTTACCAAACAAATATATAGAGGTTTCATAGGTAAATAAGAGTTTGCACTTATCGATACATGACATATTAATCAGAATTGTATTAGCCCGTATCACGTACTCAACCCATAACAAGATAATACTGGCACTGTGTATCTTATGGAAACGCAGGACTCTTTCGAAAGCGAACAAACGGATGATGTACAAGACACGGAACGACGTTTTGCCAGAGCAGTCGAATTCTGCGACTAGCATGTATACCTCCCGCAGGTAAGTCAAAATCGAGCTTAACATTAAGCAAGGTTATTACTGCAAACGCTACAATGTATATATGTTTTTCGAACCAACAGCCAACTAAGCCAAGGCTGGCTGAGAGCAGGGATACGCCAAAGGTTCGATAAAAACATGGTATGTATGCTTACCCGCAGGTAGTTACACCGCGGTCTGCGTCTAAATGCAAACGGCGCCTCCTCTTCGCTCTCGGAACCCAGCTTGTTGCCATTTTGGGCGCCGACACCGAGGTAGTCCTCCTCCTCGCTGTCCACAATCGACTCGTTGGCCGCCGGTGAAGCGCTCTGGCGATGCAGGTGATGCAGATGGGACAGATGCGCAGGCGAAACGCCCGAAGCTGACGACGCCAGGCCCAGGCCTGGCAAATACTGTTGTTGCTGCTGCTGTTGTTGTTGCTGCTGCTGATGTTGCTGCTGCTGCAGTTGCTTCTCCCGCGGAAGTTTGTGTTTGCGCTTCTTGTACGGCCGCTTCTCCTTTCGACTGCTGCTCCCGTTGCCACTGCCAGCACTGATGCCCTCTGCAAATGTATTAACATAATAAAAACTGATTCTGCACGCTTGCACACTGTACTTACCCATTGTCAGACTCGATGTGTTCAGGTACTGCGACGCCTGCGCATAGACTCCCGTGTTGCTGTTGCTTCCCGCTGCCAAAATGCCCGGAGTCAGCACCCCACCGCTGGCCATCAGAGCACCCGTAGCTGTTGTGCCAGCTGCCGTGGCGCCTTGTGAGTATTGATTCGTATACAAAGAATTGTACACGGGTCTGAAAAATGATGAGACAGGTTATTGAAAAGTGATACAACCTATTTATATCAATTTACAGCAGATACTATAACAATAGATACTATAACATTAATATTTTGCTTTACTATTCTCTTCCGCAATTCAATTATGAGTATTGAAACTACCCACTTTCAATTGAAATTAATGGATGCTTTCGTCAGAATTAAGTCATGGCAAATAAGGCTATTCTGACTAACTTTTAACTAATGATTGACATTAATTATGTTCTTCACAAATTGTTACTAATAATGAATGAACAGCCAAATGATTTGGGATGTTGTCAATGGTGTCCCATCGCAATGACACATACCTCGAGTTCTTGTATTGGGCATTGAGCTCCGAGTAGACTGCACCGTTGAAGTCGCGCATTTCAACGCGTTTCTCAAATATATTGACCGTCATCTTGAGGTGATCACGCTTTGTCTCCTCACGCCGCCGCACCATCTCCAGTATAGTTGTGGCGCGTTGCAGGTCGCGTCTGTAACGTTTCACAAAGGGAGAAATGCTAATCGAATGAACATACAAACAGATGCTTCCTGATTATTACCGCAGCTTAAGCATTTTCTCGTAGGAGGCTTCGTCGTTTTTGCGATTCTTTCGTGTTTGCATTTTCTCAGTGCGCCGTCGAAACGCCAGGTAGGGATTATTGGAGCTGGCCCCCGGTCGGCTCTCCGTCTTGACGGTAAGTATCAGCGGATGTTGCTGCAAAAGAAGACATTGGTAATCGGTAAAAGGAACTGTCTTCAGCATTTTAAGATCGTACCATCTTGAGGCGCTTGTTTAGCCAATAGTCGTACACTGATATGCTAGTCTCGTCGTCCTGGTTCAGCAACGTTTTGGCCTCGTTAAGTGTAACGACCGTTTGCCCGGAGCTCTTTTCCAGCCGATCCATCATTTGTTCGAATCTCAGCTCGGTTAGCTGCAGGCGCTGCTGTTGGTTCAGCCAGTCATCGTCCGCGCTGTCCATGTCATAGTCCGGCACCTCCGTGTCCAAGCCCAGGGCTATAAGGCGTCAATTGAAATTGATAACTAAACGATGGCAATTTGGACAGTTAATGAGTAATTACGCTGCATGTGTATCATTTGGCGGGGCATTTTGTAGTCCGGCGGATAATAGGCATCATAGAACGGCTGATCCGTTTGCAGAACCTCGGGCGTGGGTATGATAAGTCCAGTGCAAATGGCGCGCTGCAGATGATGCTCCTGTGAATGTGTAAATATTCATTAGCAAATCAATTCAATTGCCATTTATATTTGGATAGTATGTTTGCAAGCAAAGCATGCGCCACCGACTTGAATAACTCACCGACTCTTCCTCTTTTTCCATGCCGCTAGGCATTTGTGGAACAGCACGATTGATGGCCGAATACTCTGGCAAATCGGGCAGCTCCTCCGCCAAGTAGATGGGCATCTGCTTGGACGGATCCAAGTGACGTGCCCTAAACGATAGTTTCGACATTTTGTGGCTGTGGCTGTGGCTGTTGTTGTTTGATGTTGTGTGTTGGTTGTTGTATGGAACGTTTTGCTGCTAAGTGTGTGGAATTGTTTGTTGTTGCTAATGTTGTCTGATTATTTATCTGTTTGTTGTTGTGGATGATGGTGATAGTGGCTCTTAAGTTGCTATCGATGCTATGCAATGGCAACTGCCAATGGCTGATCCTGCAACGATCAGTGGCAACGGCGGATTCCTACAGCAGATTCCTACAGTTTCGCCTGCGTCTGTTGCTGCTTCTTTACAGGAGCCCTTCAACAGATTCGTTGTTCTTGTTTTTGCTGCAGCTACTTTTGCTATTGTTAGCCTCGAAATTGAAGCGTCTATGGATGGAGGAGATATGCTGCTCTTAAGCTTATGTAACGACGTCAACGCTAACGCCGAGCGAGTCTTATTTGTTGCTGGACGCAGCACCGTCTGCTCTGCCTGTGCCTGTGCTTGTGCCTCCGTATGAGCACCGGGGCTGCGGTGGCAATGGCTGCTGTGCCAGCTAATATACGCAGCCCCTGTGCCCGTTTCCGTGCCCGTACCCACGTCCCGGCTCTGGATGCTGCTGGCGGCTTTTTTGTTGGAACGCCGCTTGACCACGGCTGCTGCAGTCGCTACTGCTGTATACAAAGGCGTGTCCAACGTAACTGTTGGCTTAGTTCTTGTTGTTGTTGCTGCTGTTGCTGCTGCTGGGCCGCTTCCTCTGCTGCTGCTGCTGCTGTTGCTGCTGCTGCTGCTGCTGCCGTCGTCGTCCGCTGCCTCTGCTGCCGTCTGCTGCTGTCGTTGCTCGTTGTATGCGAACAGCGCTGAGAGCAACAACAGGGCCAAAGAGATTAGTTTATTGCAATTACGACGACAACGCAGTGGTAGCAACAACAATAACGAGTGCAGCAATTGTGTCGACGACATTTTTCACGTTGAAATCGAAAAAATTATGTGAATTGGCATAATTACGTTGATCAAATTTGCACATTTCAGTTCATCTTTATTCTTAATAATGTTTGTTTGTTGGTATTATTGACTTCCAGTTGCGTTTTGTTGCGTTCTTGTTGCTGTTCTTGGTATTCCTGTTCTGTTAGTTGCTGCAGCTGATAAAAATCTGCAAAACAACAACAAATCGAATAAGTAAACAAACCACACGTACACACGAGACGCACACAAGCGCACCCACACTAACACAGACGCAAACTAAACCGATATAACAAATTGAAGCGCGCGCGGGAATTTTATTTTGAGCCGTGTTTTCATTTGCAACTGCACAACACACACACACACACACACACACACGCTAATAACAATATATAGATATACAAATACTCCTACGCAAAACACTCACAGACATGCACGCATAATTTTGTTATTGTCTGACGCTCTTGAGAACATGAGATCGTCAATTTCTTGTTGTTGACAAAACGAATGAATCATTTTCATTCTGAAACCCGCAAATGTTTCAGTGTGTGAAATGAATAATAAAAAGAGTTGTAGTTGTGTATAAAACACTCGAAAAATGCAAAATCATAGGGAACGCGAGAAGATAGAAGCAGAAAAGCCGCGCCGCCGATGCGAGCGTAAAAAAGGCGGCATAAACAAACACACACGCGGCGATTTCGCCCAAACAAACGCGGCGAATTGCACGAAGAAAAAACACGAAGCCTATCTGCAAAATACGACGAAAAAAACGTAGCACTTCATGTGGGTTTTGTTTTTTGCAATTATTTGCCAAAACACTAATATATTCCAGCAGCGGTATTTTTTATACCGTTTTAATTATTTTTTAGCACACTTTACCGCGCTTTTCACACACCTGCACGCACAATTTTGTTGATAATTCGTAAAAAAATTTACACAAATTTCACGAATTTTGCGTATAGCGTGGTTTTGCTGGAAGCAGTAATGGCGGCCAGAGCCGAAGACAAACGACGGCGCGTAGCATTTCCAGGCCGCGAATTGTTTGTTTGCAACATCGGCGTTCTTTAAAATCGGCTATAGCGCAACGATAACATATATTATCTACATAGCATTAAAACTAATCATTAAATACATGCAGAAAAAATAATTTGGCACTACAATTAAATTAGTTTGTTATTTATTAGCCTGGTGCACAGAAAAACAAAAGTTATCGGCGGAGCGAACAACGGCGTTGTGATCTGATAGCACGGCATAGAACTCTGCGACTCCGAAGCGTGTACTAATACCGCCCTCTAGCGAGCTGCATTCGAAAAAGAGGCAAGAGCAGCGAAAAGTTTTTTTTCACAAACAAAAAAATCGATTTACATTTTTCACGCACATTCTTTTGCACTTTTATTGACTTTGACAAGTCGGAATTGTGTGGAAATCATGTGCTTCCACTGTATTTTTGTTTTCCGCAGCGAAACAAGCAATATTTTGACAGTTTCGTCAACAAAAACGTTTGAAATTGTTTTTCTTCTGCGGACACGTTTTTACTTAATGGCGGGCGGCCATCACGAATTGATACTAAAGTGTTTTCGGAGTTGAACGCTTGTCGTAATGCTATAGAAATTATTTTGGGTAGCTTAGATTGTGTTGCATTTGACGAATTTGAATGGGGTTTGCGCTGAAAATTTCAGAATTTAATTCTACATTTAATGCATACAACAGGAGCATATGTAACCACTGCATTTGTTCAAAATTTGTTATTAATTTGTATGGCCAGCGGACAGCATTTACCAGCGGTCTAGTGATGAGACCAACAGCAGTTTAACGATATATCGATTAAAACGATTCAATCGATTACTTTGATTTTTAGTTGACGAAATACTTAACGAAATATGACGATATCGTTTCCGATCATTTCAAGCCCGCGTTGACTTAAGTTTTAATTTTTGTTTAAATTTTAGTTATTTCGCTTGGTGGCACCCTTAACTGTAATATTGTGTCAAAGCGACAAAGATCGTTAGCGTAGTGCTGCCAATAAACCTAATAGACGAATGGGAAAATGTTTATGAAATTACAAATAATACCCATAAAATTATTTGGACAATTTGACAGTGTTGCCCATTTCAGCATTTCAGTAAGTTGTAAGGTTAACAAACCAATGTATGTATTTTAAAGAATCCAAAGTGCTGCCAATAAAATTAAAAATAATGTATTGAATTTGATTGAGTGAATTTTTCTGAAGCAAATAGACAGTGCTGCCAAGTTGCCTATTATGATACATTCAGAGCACTGGAGTTGTAGCGACACGTTAGGTTAACATTCTACTAATTGAGTATATTGGCTTAGTTTAGCTAAATCAATAGCCATGATAGCCACATCAGACTGTAAGGAAAAATAGCCTCCATGAAAATGTCTGCTTGCTGCTGCAAGCAGTCCATATCGCAGTACTGTATCACTTAGCTTTGATTTGCATGAACCGTAGCAGAGAGGCAATAAGCTTTTGTCAAGCACTCATTGGGAAGCGAATGTCCTTAGGCCTGATAGCAAACAGCTTCTGTCAGCTAGTGAATGCTATTGATTGATTGATAATAAACATTATTGATTAATATAACAAAATGGTCCTGTTCCGTCCCAGAAGATAGACATCCCGGGCCGTATATTTATTTTAGGAAGCTAAATCATCCCCAATGAAAACGAGAAAGATCACATGATTTGCGCTTTATTTGTAAAATGTAATAAATATTTCGTCAAGTTTGCCGCAACCGTCTTTCTTAAGTTGCTTTTAATCGCTGTTAAGGTACTTTAATAATAACATAACATAATATGTAAAAAACAAAATATAAAAACAACTCTGATTTCTGATCAGCATGGTACTTCTAAAGTAACCGTTTAATAAATTGAATTTATGCCTTGAGAAACTCTTATACAATAATGTAATTTTGGGCTGAGTCTGGATAATTATTATTATTTTAAAAGCTGCTTTGTTTTTTTTTTCGGTTTTTTGATTAATTATATGTATTACATTTATAATGTTCAACACTTACATAAGTTAAGATCTTAACAAGGAGTATCGCAAATTTGCAAAAGTTTAAAGACTTGAGCAAAACAAATCAAATGAAAAGTAAAGCGTATTTATATTTAAGACTTGATTGCTTTAACAAATAAAAAGCTTTTTTGGTGTTCAAATAGCCCCTTAAAAGCAGTTAAAAGCCTTAAAGCTCGTCCTCGTTTGTTGTTGTTTTGTTGATGGGCAGCACTGGCTCCACAGCTGATTCTGCCATTCTTCTTGTTGTCGATGCCCAATCTGATGATGCTGCTGCTGCCGTTGCTGCTGCTGCTGCTGCTGCTGATGATGATGATGTTTTGACTACGTCGCAAGGACGTACACATATTTTACATACAAAGGTGGCTGGCCCTGTGGCAGAGTGCGCTGGGCTCGCACTGGCATGACGCCAGCAGACACACACACACAGGCACAGGGCTAAGCCGACGGAAGGCAGTTGCTTGCAGATGTGCGCGCGCAGATTGTCCACAATCGCAACATACATATGCATGTATTTAAACGCACGTATGTATGTGTGCAGGCATGTGCGCAAGTGTGGCGATTGTGGAGCAGCTGTCGCGCCATTGCGGCTACTGTCATGGTTTGCGATGGCGTACATGATGAAAAAATTTAAGTCAGACAGTGGTGGCGTATGTGAAAAAGCACCATAGCGTTTAACGGTAGTTGTAATGGAGAAGCGCGTCTCCCAAGTGGGAGAGCGAAAGCACGATTAGAGGACGACAAGCAGCAGCTGCGTGAGAAAGCTTTTTCGCCTATCCAAGCCGACAAAAAAACAATCCCGCACACTGTCACGCCTGTGCAGCTGTTACACACTGCCAGCTAAAGGGAGAGAGAGAGAGAGAGAGGGAGCGAGAGACACAAGCGACTGAGTGCTTATGAATTGAGCAAAATGGAGAACTGAGCGCAGGCCTTCGACCAGTACATGCATGAGCATATGTATATATATGCAGACACATCATTAAGTTTGTACTGCAGTCTGCCGACATGTGTATGTATGTTTGTACGAATGGATGTATGAATGTATGCATGTTCATACATATGTACATATGAATGTGCTTATCGAAAACGAAACAAAAAAAGTAAATAAATAAATATATGGAAAAACCGATGATTGGAAAGAAAGCGGCTCGGGCTCGTCTCAGGATTTGTGAATGAACTGAACTTAGGAAACAAAAAGTATACCTTTAAGGAAATGTTGGTTTTTCTCAAGTTCGTTTTTGTTGGTTTTTCTTTTACAATATTCAACAACCAATACCAATATTCTTAAAATGGCAACTGCCATATTGGTAGAGTCTTTGATATTAATTTAGTGCTTTTTGTATTGTGAGGAATTTATGGATCATAAATGCCAAAAAAAAAATAAAAAAAAAAAACGGGACTATTTGCGGCCTTTAATATGGCACGATAATAATTAAGATTGAATTAAAAACGCGCCTAGCATAGTACAAATTTACGATAGCTTTATGAGAACTGCTTGGATTTTGGCTAACACTAGACTGCATTGTGCTTCTAGATCAGTTTGTTGTCAGAATGTAGTCGACTGTAATTTTTCTCAATTATTAACTGATTCGATATGCACTTGAAACGGATCGAACTTTCGCTATATCTAGACAATTGCCGGCTAAAGTTTCGACCAGGTCTAATGCGGATATATACATTGGTTGGCCCCTTCGTGCTGGCCAACTTTGAATGAGTATATTTACATTCATTCCTAATCCGTTTCCAATCCCAATCCCAAGCCCAGTAACGAGTGCATATCTCATTTGGAACGTGATTTGTTGTGTTGTTGCTTTAACTAAACTACGCAGGTGTCTAATTAGAGTTCTATGTTTGTGAAGTTTAGATTAGTAAAAAGATTGTTTAAGAAAAGAAAGTTTCGAGAATTGAGCTAATCAGAGTATGTATATAGATAAAGATAAATATATATATATAGACAGAGAGCGAGAGAGAGAGAGTGTGTGTGTGTGAGAACGAGAGAGGAATAGATTCAGAGAGATGTTTAACTACAAAAAGTACTAAACTAAAATGATATTATATTTTTCATTTTGCACTACAAATTTGTGTATGATGATCGCATTTCTTGTAATTGTTGCAAATAAATTTAGTTCGTTAATTTGTTAAAAACTTTGAAACGCATTAACTTTCAATCAAATACTGGTTATAAGAATATTGTTCACATTCACAAACCGAAATTTTGTTAAAATATATATGCTGTTTTATATGTATATATTATATGTATATTATAGTCAAAGAAACCAACATACCAGAAAAAATAAATAGATAAACGAAGAAAAACTGAACTATACAAAAACCAAAGGCTTTCCAAGTGTCTGATGAATTTGGTATCCAAAACTCGCAGGGCCGAGAATGGGCTGCCCGCTTGGACCGGAACTCGAGTCCTTGCAGGACCAACAACGACAGTCGATCGCGAAATGAGAGAGAGGACTTACCTTAGGGAGACAGGGGGGGCGTATGGCTAGGCTATATTGTAAAGAGCATGCTCCACGCTTGGACGGAGATGAGATGATGTTTAAGCTTTCAAGCATGTCCTGATGTTGTTTGTTTTTTTTTTTTTTGTTACAAGAATAATTAGTATAGCAGTTTAGTAACTAAAGCCAGCTCTAAAAGTATATTACAAATGTTGGGTGCAGTTGAGAAAGTTGATCTAGGTGATGTGAAATAAGGCAAAGTTGAGAGTTGAAGTAAATTTCAAAATGAGTATAGCAAATACATACACATACACATACATATGCAGCATGTACATAGGTATATACATAGGTATGTATGTAAGGTAAAAATGTTTATTTCTGATAAGCCAATTTTCAATTACATAAATGAAAATTTGAAATTATTTTATTTTTTGTTTTTGTTATGCCTAGAATACAAATTCAAGTTGTCATAAATATAATTATGTGTAAAGAAAAATAAATCATAAGCTACATTTAACTATGTATAAGTACATAAATGATTTGAGATATTCTTTTAAAACTATCACTAGCATGAATAACAAAAAGAGCAGGGCAGCAGAGTCGGGCTGCCCGACTGCGCGACACCCTGTACACACAGCCCTGTCTTCAAAGTTCCAATTGAAATTTTAGCAACAACTTGTTTTAGACTTCGAATAGTTCGAGCTGTTGTATACAGGGCGTTCCTTGGGGCTACTTACTGGCTAATTATCACTTTTTGAATAACAAACCAAAGAGATTGAAATCAATAGGAGTCTTTATACAGGAGCTAAGCGACTACTGGACCTGGATATTCAACTTAAATTGGTGTGTGTTGTCTAGGTACTCCTGGAGAAAGAGTATTTGTGATATGATTGGACATAGATCTTAGCTTAGTGATTAGAGATTAGATAGAGTTAGAGTAAAGTAACGTTATGCATATGGAGTTCTTGACTTTGGAATAAACATGATGAGCAAATTTCATTTGAGTTAATGCGGCAATTGACAAGCATACTTCAGACTTGACCATTGCACAATACTTTATCTTTCCTTTTTCTTTTCGATTTCGATTTCAATTTCAATTTCCATTAGTTCCGATTCAAAATTGGGCACTCTGATATATACAAAACGAAATTTTTACATTTGCTTAGGTATGTAGCTCAGTATGAGTTCTATTACTAAGCTTACTTATGGTACATATGTATGATAAATGTGTGACTCATTTCATTGGGACTCTATAAATGTAAGTAACAAAATTTGAAGAAATGTAACTACAGATACGAGTACCTACTTAAGCGCTACATGCTTTAGCATTAACAACATGCATTTCAAATAGTAGTTCATATCATTGATGGATCTCGAGTACCAAACATTCCAAGTACCAAGAAACAGGTACCAAGTACCAAGTACCAAGTACCAAGTACCAGTTATTAATGTAATTATGCTTTCGGGCAAGTGCAACAAGCTCGCATTTTGATTCATTGGACTGTGGTAATATAGTAAATAGTATATGTATTAAGTAAGAGAGTCGTATGCATCACTTCTTCATGTAGAAGTCTTTTATGCATCGGCAATTCATTGGGGCCCCTTTTGGGGGCGTCTTTTAAACGTGTGTGTGTGTGTGTGTGTGTGTGTGCAGTCAAAACTTTCGATCTACTCGTTGAATATTAATAAGTCGATAATAACTGTGCTTGCAGAACGAAAATCAACATCATTTACATTGTTTGAAATGCGAAAGTTAACTAATCAGAACTTGGCTACAAATCAATTTCAACTAATGTGTAAATGTGAGTGTGTGTGTGTGTGTGTGTTGGGCATGATATCTATAGAGTATGTCTCGTGTCTAGATGTAACAATATGTACTTTATAACGCTTCTCTGGGTTTAACGAATGCCCTGCAATCTGAGTTTAGTTGTCAATCTATCTGGGCACAAACTTTGCTAGCAGTATTAGCCATGGCATTGTGATGAGCATGAGATGTTGATAACCGTTTGCGAATGAGTATAAACTTTTACTAGAATTGCACATATCTTCCTCACAAAAGCACATATGTCCATTGCCTGAACTTTCCATCATGCACACGTGATCGACCATGAATAAATTGATTTGTAACTGTGACGTACACATGCGTCGCACCACCTCGTAGGCTGTAAGACAAGGACGATGTATAAGGGCGTATCCTGGCATATCGATGCCCTTGCATCTGCCTAGCATCGGATGCGACAAGGATGTGCCTACCCAATATGCAGCTACTTACGTGATCTCTGATGTCGCACCATTTTCACACAGCAGCCATTGCAGGTCATCAGGGGCGGCTGATCGCGGGGCAGGGCCGTATAGTTGAAGGGGTCCTTGCAGCGCGCATCCGTCCAGGAGTCGCACTCGTAGCAGTAGATCGAACGCGCTGCAGTACAAAGCACACAATACATTTATTACCTTTGAGCCCAGAATCAGACTCAAATGGTTTCGCCTGCTGCTCTGCTTAGGACTACTCGACTAAGATGCAGCAACGCAAGACTCTACGGATTAACTCAATATATAACTCATTATGTACACAAGCACAAAAGCATGAAAAAGTCTGATTAATTTGAACTTTAGTACAAATGAAAAACAAGCAGAGTGAACAGCACTAAACTAGGGAAACAGCATCCAAAATGCTTGAGGTGCTTGCTTGATGGTGTTCCTTATTTAAATGTGGCTTATCAATTAATGTTATTGTTAATTTAACTTTATATTAGTTAGACATAAGCATGATTAACTGGCAGTTAACGAAATTAAAATAAAATATGCAACAAGTTGGTATGTCTAAATAGATGTAGATGTGGATATAGATATAGTATCTATACTAACATACTACTAATTCTCTTGAGTATCTACTATCTGGATGTATATATTATCGCTTGCCGCACATTAGGGGCTGATGAATGGTACCTTAGTGCCATGAATCACTTGAAAGGAAACTCAAAACGAATGAAAGCAATATCGAATATGCAATATTTGGTGGAAAATCAGTGTATGCTCGCATTACATATGAAGGAATGTTTCATTTAGCTTTGATGAAATGTAAAATTGTATATTTCAATCAGATACTAATTTTAAAGATCGAGCGAACCATATGTTTAATAGGTGCAAACAAATGTGTAATGTGCTTTAAATAACCGAATCTAGAGTGAAAGACGTGCAAGTGTTAAGAATATTATCTAAAAACGTAAAGGACTATAGTTGGTATTGTTCTCGACATGCAGACACACAGAACCACAGAAAAACCTGCACATTAAACCAAAAGCATACACACACTCAGACACACGTACAGAGAAAAACAGGTAAGAGATGCATAGTTGCAAGTTGGAACAGAAATGTAAGAAACGTAGAAAAACGGACTCTGGTTGAGCGAGTGGGTAATACGTGTCCCTTGGTGAAATCGGATAGAAACAGTGTATAGGGAACCCAAAGTTCTTGAAATAAATGCTTGCAAGAAATCAACGGAAAAACGAAAGAGTCTAAATTGAAGCAATTGTCAAATTGTCTTAAAACGAGTCTGAACAAATCTGTTTGGTTTGGCATAAATCAAAAGAAAATGCTTTGGGTACTGAGCGTTAATTGATGAGATATCAAAACATTTATAGACAAATAGTGGCATATTCACAGAGCCTATCTGAGCAAAATGCCGATTAGGAAAATATCTGGACTCGCGTTCACTTGAGTAAATCAATTTAAATGTTACAAATAGAATATACATATACTTATGCATGACTTTGGTATTATAATAATTTATGATTTGTTTGTTTTTTTTTTTTTTTGTTTTGGCAAAAAAGTTATTTTAGGTATATTTAAGCGTTTGTATATAGGCAGAGGATCAATGGATTCATACTTTGACATTCGGCTGAGGCTGATGGAATCCATACAAAAGTCAGAAATCCAAATATGGCTGCAAATAAACAATAAAAGGAAGAGCAAAGTAGAAGACAGGAAGATGAAAATGAAATACAAAGTTGCGTGAAAAGGTTGAAAATTAGACACATTTACAAAGGACATTTGCATTTGCATGAACCATATTCAATGGAATGGTTAAAGTGGATTCGACATTTCGATGAAAAGAGTGGAAAATAAAAATCTCGACACCATATTTCACAAAACATACATCAAGGTCAGAAAAGAATATTACAACAAAAATAAAAATAACAAATAAAAATAAAATAAAATAAGTTTTAAGCAAAAATCAAATTGGGGTTAGCTTGGAAATAAACAAATTGCGCCAATTTATATGCTGTGTGAAATCTTAAGCCTTGTACCATTCCATGGAAATGGCTGTGCATGCAACAGAACTTGGACGGGAATATACAAACTCTGGGGATGCGCGCCACACACAAAAACAGTTAGGATAACCTTACCTACGAGTAAAGTGGAGCATAATTAGCGAGTGTGGAGTGTGGATTGTGAGAGCAGCTGTCAAGGACAGGGTGGGTTGGGGTTTTACACAGTTTGGGTAACAGTTAGGCTTACAAATATCTATACATAGTACATGGTAAAGTTTGTAATGCATTTGTACAGTGTGTCATACGAGTCGTCCTCCCCTTGCGAGGGCGTATGCAAGACAAGTTGTGACAATATCGCACTCTCAATGCAGGACGCAGGACGTGAGTGTTGTATAGAGACGACTGTCAATACGAGTAATCGATAGGAACAGCAGCACGTATCAAACTAAAACCAAACTCAATACTGAATACAACCGAACGCAACCAACTGATTTGGCATTTACGAATTACGAGTATTTTACAGGGGATTTAGAGTATTTGGCTGCCTTAACCCTGCCATGTGCACCCTTGCAGATGCCGAGCTGAGGTTTGCTATCAAATCTTTTGTATTCCAAATTAGAAAAAGGATTGAGTCAAGCATTATTTATTATCACTTTACTTTACTTGTCTATTAAACTTAATAATCGAAGTCAATATAAACCTGTTTTGTTTGTACAACAATTAATTTTGTTAATTGTATATATTGATCCCGTTTTTATTATTAATTTTGATCAAAAAACAAACAATTTCCTTTGGATAGTTTATTTGTTTGCAAGAGCAATCTGCAAGCGTGTTTAGGCTATGGCTGGCCGGAGAAAATGTTGTTTTATTTGTTGTTAAATGTTTAATTTTAGTAAGAGTATAAAACTAAATAAAATGCACAATTAGTTTAGTACAAACGCAAAAGTATTTGAAACCATATGCAAAACAGAAATCAAACGAATTTCGCAATTTTGAAACGAAACTGAAACTTACTTGGAAAACAATTATCAGCTGTACCGAATTTTGCCAATGCCAAAATAACTTTTGTACAATTTTACATACGCATCGAGAAAATTTGTGAAAACGAAATTTGTAAATTAATTGTCTTTGGAAAATGAATACAATTTTTACATCTAATTATGAAAATAACCTCTTGTTTCTCTCTGTTATTCTACACTTTTTTTGTTGTTTTGGGTTTTGTTATTGTATTTATTTGTTTATTTGTTTCCGCTTGTTCTTTACTATTTGCTTTTCTATTAAGCATGTCATATCGCACATCGCTCATACGACCCGTTCGCCGTCCGTTTTTTTCTTTGCGAATGCGAATGCGCACATGTGTGTGTGTGTGTGTGTGCGTGTGTGGCACATAGCTTGACTGTCCAGCTATTAATATACTTCACTAGTTCTATATCGGTCCACGATTGTTGTTCAAATAAAAACAAGAGTCTGCCTCTTGTGGTCGTCGGGCATTGTTCGATTTGATTGCTAGATAACTCGTAAATAATCTGTGTGGTCTTTGAAGCGCCTCGTGTCTGCCTTCGATTTGGCTAATAAAAAGTCACGGCTCATAAACAAGCTGTTTTTGCTGAGCATTAATACTTAATCATAATCATACTGGACTCGAAATGGAATTCTTACCTGTCAGGGCCAGCAGCCACTGTCTGGCTGCGTTTTCTTTAGTCCACATTGTGATGGAGGGGTTCGCTTTTTTATTCTGCAATTATTACAAACGTCTTTGAAAAGTAGGTATTATTAATAATATAGGTTCGTCTTGTACCTGGCTGATTCGATACGATTACGACTCTGAGTGGAAGGACTTAGCCTGTCTCGGCATAGAAGCGCTCAAGTTTACAGCTCGGCAACTGCATAACTTCCTGAGTATTACGACATCGCAGTTAAAACGGAAGAAGCGGGCTGCAAGATATAGTTATGAGTTTTCACTTGTTGGCCATGATAAATAAGTTAATCTGTTACTCAAGCTGTTTTGTACCTAATGTTAAATTTGAGTTTTCAGACTAGCTTTACGATGGACAGTCGACCTAGTTGCACAAATCGCAGTTTAAATAAACTAATACGAAATAGCCAAAAATGATAGACCAATGCATTTTAAAATAAGTTGATTGAAGACACGAACCATAAATTTAAGTCTGAAAAGATGATTCGTGAATTTCCTCTTCATTGGCCTCTAACATGCGTACGTCACATCTTGAAGAATTACATACATACATAAATATATTCAAAAATATTCGTATACATATATAAATATACATATATATAGGAATATATAAATGGAAAGACAACTAAGTATTAATAGCAACGCATAACCTCTAATAAGTGTTCTAGGTCAATGTGTGAGACCATGTCATGGCTGCTGCTGATGTCAATAGAGTGTGGAAAATCATTGAACCCATATAATGAGATGAATCTATATATATAATATTTATGTAGATATGCAAAATATGGTATATAAAATTTGTGCAAATGTATGTAACAGACTGGCAGATGCAACTCCCGCCCCATATACTCGAAATTGACAGCACGCAATTAATGCAGAGACCCGCCTGTTGGTAACTAGGTTCTGACATAGTTAATGTTAATTGAAGACTTGGCATATTTATATTTAATGAGACCTCAATGAGATGCACATTCAAAAAACTAGATTAAAATGGGCATTGATTCACCAAGGGCAGGAGTATGGACTTCTCTATGAATTTACCCTTGTCAAATATCGACTATCAATATGTACTATAATTTATGCGTATTGTGCGTACTTTAGTTGAGGTTACAAATATTTGCAGTCTTGTAGTTGATTGAAAAGTTTTCCAATTTGCAAATAAATAAAATAGTTGAAATTGTATCAAATATTGTCGGTTCGCCCACTTGCAGATACTTAAATTTGCATTTATATTGATGACATGCGGAATTCACATTGTTTTGCATATTTACACCGAACGTTGGCAAAATGTCAGAAATAATGCGCCAAAAAAAAAAAAAACTGTGCAAATTTAGTGTACTATTTGTGTGTGTGTGCGAGTGTGGGTGTGTGGGTGTGTGTATGCCACAGTGCGTCGAGACTGCACAAGAATGTCGCACATTTGTTTATTGACAGATTTTGGGTTAAGGTTTGCTCTTTATTTAGCCACTCAAATGTGTTTTTTATACTTTTTATATTGATTTTTTATTTCTAGCGACGCCTCTCAGAAAATTGGTTGATTTATGGCAACAAGTGTGCCCACACACACACACACACACACACACTGGCAGCTATCGGATGCGCTGCCATGGCGAAGCGTGTGATTAGCAAAGTGTTTAATTATTTGGTGCAGTTAAATACATAAATGTTTGTTATTGTCGTCTCTGATTGCCGGTTATTAGAGAGATGTAAGGCAGAGCGAGAGCCAATGTAAACAATACGCACACAGCTGCAACTCGCACTCGCACTCGCACTCTCACTCTCACTCACTGTCCCTCTCTCTCTCTCTTTGCACATGTTCGTTGGGGCTCTCCCGCTCTCTTTGCGCTGCCTTAATGGGGCTGCGTGTTTCCTTTTCACACGCACTTTAACTTTTTGCTTTTGTCGAACGACGTTTTTAATAGCTTTCGACTTTAAGATCGTGGATAAATAAAACTTTTATTACCTTTAGCACTTGCGCAGGCTTTTATTGATTAACACTGTCCTGCGGGCTAGTTGAATTGTCGCAGTTGGTGCAGTCGGTGCGGTGCGCAGGTGTTTGCATAAGATACGTGAGCAGAAATCGATTCAGCACACAAAGTGGGCCAAACAAATCCTAATGCAATTCACACTCGTAAATAGCACACAGCGCGTTTATTTTGGCCGTTTGCCTTTGCTTTTTGACCTGGCTGGCGGATGACATGCTCACAATTGCAAGGCTGTTGGCTTTAACAGCGCGAATTTATATTGATTTGTGACCTTTGGGCTGATCAACTTTTTCTATTGCCGCACTCAACACAATCTATTTGTTTTGAATACCGTTAAGTTTGACTTTTTGTTACTTTATTGCTGATTTTCACAGATTATTTTAATTTAAGTTTTGTGGTCTCGTTTTTTCTTTTTTCTTGAATTTAGAGGCGACGGTTGTGTCTTTTACGCTATCAGCCAACACGCAACGACATCAACTGAGGCTATGCGCTACATTTTTCGATTTTTCTACTACATTTCTCCCGATTTTAGCGCATGTCATTTGTTGCCTATTTTCAAACACTATTTGCGTATGTGCGTGCATGTGTATTCAACTGTTTAGCTTCTGGCGCCAACACGATGCAGTGTTGTCAAATGCTGCAAAAAGCTCCCAATATGTACATTTTAGCTTTCAAACGGTTATTCGAGGCGCAGCACAAAACGTTTTGCTTCTTTTCAGATTCAAGTAAGTACAAATACAAAAGCACTTGCATATTTATATTATATATATATTATATATAGTATATTACTTACCATAAATAATTAAACGACCTTACATTGTTTTCAAATTGCCGTTTGATATTTCTGTTGTTTACGAACAGCTGTTTTCTATTTTAACAGTGCAATAACAGCGCACTGCTTCATCGAAATTGTATCTTAACTAACATAACCTTAACATAGGCTGTTAAGTAAGCGCGAAATTAGAAGTATTTGTCGTATATGGAAACTTTAACTTAATTCCGTTTCAAGCCATTTCGACATTTTCAATAGGAATGGATTTCGAATACTTAACTTGTTTTAATTTCGTGATAATTATCTTTATTATGAACGCTCGTATATATAGTATAAGAAGTTTGTTGAATTGGCGTTAAGCACAGCTTAAATTAGGTATTAGTTTTAAAATGGGTTTGCATAAATAATTACATAAATACTCGTACATACAAAAATTAACACGTATATGAAAAATTATTCAAGATTACAACGAAACGGAATCAAGACAAAGACTTGAATCATGCTTTCTTCCAATTCTTGTGAGCATTTGCCATTCGACTCGCAGGATTCGAGTGGACCCGATGTGATGCAGGCTACAGAAGCAGGCTAACGCCTTAGGCATAGTCGCGTGATCCTTCCAGTTTGCGCAGCTGTGGGATGAGAATTGGGGGCAACATGTTAAATGGATCTATTTGCCAGCACGTATTTCACTTGGGAACTTATTTACACTGATTAATTTGAGAGTATGTGAGTGTTTGTGGATGTGTGTGTGTGTGTACGTGTGTGTGTGTGTGGATGTGTGTTTGTGGATGTTTCAGGTGTCGCGTTGCTGTTTCAATAGAAACTCTTATCGTGCCAAGCCGCAAAAGCTCTCACCTCACGTTCGTCGGCATGCGTGCGATATTTCTCAGCGGTCTCGTTGCTCTTGGGTGGAGTCTTCGCCTCCAGCACCTGGGTGTAGAGCAGAGCAGCCGTCACGCCGCCCAGCACGGGTCCGACCCAGTAGACCCAGTGGGCGTTCCAGTTGTTGGTAGCAAAGGCCGTGCCCACAGTGCGAGCCGGATTCATGCTGGCGCCCGTATACTGAATAGTGCCCAGGTGTCCCAAGGTGACGGCCATGCCGATGGCCAGTGGTGCCGTGTAGCGCGAGTCCGGCTTGTTGGCATCGCAGGCGCCGAACACGGTCAGCACCAGAACTAGGCCCAGGAAGAACTCAATGCCCAAGCCCTGCAGCTCGGAAATGTTGTGGGCCAAGCTGGTGTGGCCCAGACCGTTGTGATATAGCGGATCGAGAAGGATCTGCAGAGACGACAGAGGCTTAGTTTGGCTACCTTGAACAATGAATCGGAACTCACCTTGACAGCAGCCGTGCCGGCAATGGCACCCAGGCACTGGAAGACAATATAGAAGACAGCTCGGAGTACGCTGATGCGGCCAGCTATGAGCATGGCCAGGGTCACGGCGGGATTGACGTGACCGCCGCTCAGATGGCCCACGATCTGAAGGAAATGCAGAATGTGGTTTTAGTTGCCAAGTGGGCCGTCTCTTTCGGCTGTACTCACAGTGATGGCCATGAAGACGCCCAGTCCAAAGGCCAACGCCTTAAAGGTGCCATCCTCTGGCTGGGTGCAGGCGCCACAGGCGAAAAAGTTCAATATCAGATTGCCAATGAACTCGCCGATGAGCGCTTGCCAAAGGCGCAGCTCCTTGGACTTGAACTCATTGAGGCCCAGCGAATACTCGAACTTGCCCATCTTCTCCAGATGCCGATCGGCCAGACAATGACGCGCTGCAAGACACAGACACAAGCCGGAGCCTATTAATTATGGAAGTGAACAATTGTCGGACACGGGCCGTCCAAGTGGGCGATGACCGCATTTTAATGCAGCTCTTAATACGGGCCCGACTACAGTCTGGACGTGGTCAGTGGAATGGGAATGGGTAATATCTATGAGTCGACGATGACAGCCACTTCCGTTGGATGACATCGTCGACATGGCACCTAATTGGTTATCCGACACCTCCGCAGCTACTGTCAATTGACTTGGATGACAGCAATGCATTTAAATATGCACTTTAATTCAATTTAAAATCAAAACAAAAGAAGTGCAGAAATTTCAAATGGAGCTAATAATAGATGACATAGATTGCCATTAACTGCGAGGCAACCAATTTACCGATATTATCATGGTACATGCTCATTGCTGCTCAATGAGGTAAGAACAGAATAATATTGTCCACAAAAGCAAACTCATTATAGCTCACATGATCTTATAGGTATTCTGGCAAAGGACTAACTCTACTTTGTCTGAGACATGACAATTCCTGGCTGCAACAGCTGCTTAGCGCTTTCCCCAGGCAAAGGCAATATAAACACTTAATACATCTAATATAATCTAATGTATTGTCTTATTGTCTGTTAATGAATTACACTTCAGCTGTTAGTTTCGGGAAATACTTAATTAAATTGAAATATACACAGACTAGCTGTGTACATACATATGTTTTAAGTCATACAGCGCACTTATTAAATAAATAAGCATACTTAATTAATAGTTGAGCATTATGTGGATATTGGCCTAACTGCGTCTCGGCTTTAATCAGCTGGAGAGCTGCATTGCCAATTGGCAATTGGCAACAGGCCATAAAATCAGTGTAAATATTAAATGGCAAATATTTGCAAGAGAACGGCATTAACACTAAGCCTCAGCCTAATTGAGTCCGGAGATTAGCAGCCACTTCTGCATGTTGGCCAAGGCGAACGCCCAACCGCCTCACCCCCCTGGCCCACCTCCCCCTAGATGGCCAGATCGTCGTTTCTCGATCTGATTTGGCGCAAGTGTCGGACGCAATGCGGTCAAGAGCAGTTGCCAGCCCAAAAATGGGTTACAAGCGGTTGGCCATGCCCCCGCACATCAGAACAACAGCAACAGACACAACAACAACAACAACAACAACAACAACAACAACATTCGACAATAAAGACGCAATGCCTGATCTACGCGTTCTAAAGTCAGAGACTTGCCATTAATATCAATCAACGATTACTCAATGCTGAATTTTATATGAAAACTATAGACTCGAGAACAAGATTTATGTATTTTCCAGTTTTTCATCTTTTCGCTTTTTGCCTTTTTATTTGTTTTTAATTTCAATGCATGCCTTCAAAATGTTTCACTTTAATCATTTTGTATACCCTGCCATTAAAAAGCGAGAAAGAGACAGGGAGAAAGAGAGAGAGAGAGAGAGAGAGAGAAGAGAGAGTAAGTGAGAGCGAGAGACTTAATTAATATGTTTCAATTTTATAAAATGTAGCTGATAGTGATATATAGAGTATTTGATAGCCGTGTTTCTCCTGCGCACGTTCTTTTTATTTATTTACCTTGGAGTGAAAGATTGTACCTATTTTATCAATATCAGACCTTTAATGTCGAGTGCTCTCTTGATATCGATGCCCATTCCGCAAGTGAGTTAAATTGACTCTTAATAGATAAACGTTCGGGTTGACGTCTTGTTTGGGCTTCGCCATGAAATCAACTGGTGAATTGACAAATTTAAAGTAATTTAATTGCCAGCCCGACAGCAGAAGGCGCACCCAAAAGTCTTCATTCTCTGAGGCTCCACAACCAAAGACCTGTGTGCTTACCTGTGATATGTCCATGTATCAGATCTATTCATTTGAGTCAGAGACACAAGCAAGCTCTGAATTACGTCATGTGAGATCATTTTTGATGGATTTACATTTTATTCATGGCATAAACGCAGTTCCAGTCTTTCCCAACTAGTTCGCAAGGCGACTAAGTCAAGCTCGAGGAATCTAGAAACTAGTTTATTCATATTATTTCGCTTTTTCCAAAGACATTTTTCATAGCAAAAAAAACCGATTATTCACCTAAACTGCAGCTAGGAATTAAATGTTGGCAATTTACTTTATTCTCGCCCATCGATTTTCCAATTAAATATTGTACTATTGTCTCAGCGACATTCCGCGGCAACAGGGCTGGAAACTCGCATATTTTGCGGATTTAGCAAACACCTGCCCCCAAATAGAAATATCAATTCAGTTTCTGAAGTGGCAATCCAACAACAATAATAATGATAGCGTGTTCTAGTTTTAGTTATAATCAATCAGAGAAGGCTTATCTGATAATGATTGGTTTTAACAAATAATGAAAACAGAAAGGCTGATAAAACATTAGCTAGAGTTTCTTAGAGTGCGAAGGCAATCCATGTATATTTACTAATTCTGTCATATTCGCATTGCATTGGCGGCTCGTGCGTGATATTTTGTCGAAATGTTTGCTCAACAAATTGGCGCAAACGCCGCGAACAAAACACACAAATTAACTGAATTCTTGCACACAATGCAACAAAAGACGCCGCCGCAAATGATTTGAACACAAAATATATATCAATAATCGAAATACTGCATTCTGACACCTTCCTCCACACAAGTCAGAGCTCGAGTATTTTCGTATACTTAAATAAAAAAAACGCATGCATACATTCAAATTCCAGAACCGGCACACAAAAGTTCATGAACTGTTGCAAGCCAAACGGACGCTCGCATTAAATTTCGCAAAAATAAATAAATAAATTAATTTCAAAACAAGACTCTAAACTGAATTTGCTTGGCTTGTTTTAAGCACAAAGCTTGACGTCATCTATTTGATATACTACTGAACAGCTTGTTAAAATTTAAATAATAAAAAGAAACAAAGAAAATAAATTAAATTAAA